TTCTGCTGGTTCACTCCCTAGAGGGTTGACCAGTGCTGAGCCAGGCCGAAGCCAGGAGGTTCTTCTGGATCTCCCATGTGCATGGCAGGGGCCCAAACCCTTGGCCATCTTCCACTGCTTTTTCCAGGCCATTAGCAGGAAGCTGGATTGGAAATGAAGCAGCCAGGAGGTGACCCCGTGGTCTTACCCACTATGCTGCAATGCCAGCCCCCACATCTACTTTCTGCTTAGTATTTCTATCATGCATCTCCCCCACATTTTCACACTCAACTGGTCTATCTTTGTGTACAGAGACATACTTTAAATGGTTCTGCTGAAGCAGTATACTATTAGTTTCTTAAAAAATACACTGAAAATTTCTTTAATGTGTTTTTCCATACACATTCAATATAATACTTCATATGATTGTATTTAAGCTCGTGGTCTTGCAATTTATTTTCTGTTTGTCTCATATGATTGCTTTTCTCTTTCTGAATTTATGTGGAAGTTAGTTTTTTTTAATAGCTAAAATATCCATTGGATTTGTTTTAATGTGATTCTGCTGTCAATCATTTCTCTCGGCTTTCCTTTCTCAATATATCTTTATTCTGGCTTCATTGTTGAAGATTTTTTTTTTTTTTTTTGCTTTTTATAAAAATCTAGGGTGGTGACTACTTTCCTCTAGGAATTTTAGAGATGTCATTTAATTGTGTTCTGGTCTCTGTTGCTTTTTTGTGACTAGTGCATCATAAAATATAATATTTTTCTTTTGGATGCTTTTAGTATTTTTCCCTTTTTCTTTTTCATCATTTTTACTGCAATTTTCCTGCTGTGGCCTGTTTGTGCTTGTCTTGATCTTTAGTGAGTTAAGATCTGTGAGTTGCTGTTGTTTGAACTTTTCAGAAAAAAATTTAATCTTCATTTCTCCAAATAATATTTGTGCCTTTCTTTTTTCTTCTTTTTTCGTAGACTCAACTACATATATTTTAGACTGTTTGCTATTATCCTATGGGGCATCTTTTCACTCCTTTCTTCTTTTATTTAGGCTTATAACACTTTGCATTGGTATGTTTTCAGTTTTCCTTTCTTTGTTAGTGCTCAATGTGCTGTTAAGCCTATCCAATGAATTTCTTGCTTCAGAGATTACAGTATTTATTTCTGCGTTTTCTGTGTTCACACATTGACTTCTTTTCTACTTGCCTGTTTCCCTCCTTGATCATTGCCACAGTTTTCTGTTTCTTTGGCTGTCTAATAATTTCTGATTGTATACTGGCTATTGTGCTGCTACACGATACAAAGATTGAATTGCAACATTTTCCCCTGAAAGTTGTATTTTAATTTTTAAGAAGATTCATTTATTTTATTTGAAAGGTAGCGTGACAAAGCAAGATGGAGAGAAAGAGAGAGCAAGAGATTTCTATCCACTGGTTCACTCTGCTTATGGCCAAAATCATTAGATCTGGACCAGGCCAAAGCCAGGAGCTACAAAACCACCCCAGTCTCCCACATGCAGGGCCAAGAGCTTGGGGGATCTGTTGCCTTCCCAGCCGGGCACGTTATCAGGAAGCTGAGTCGGACGCAAAGCAGTTGGGACCCAAGTGGCGGCCCTGCAAGTGGTGGCTTCACTTGTGCTGGCCTGGAGGGCCGTATTTCACCAGGCAGGTAAATCACTGGTACAGGATGACCATTTGGTGCAGCAGGGAAGCCGCTGCTTGGGGTGTCTGCCTCCTGTACTGGAGCGGCTGGGTTTGAGTTCCTGCTCTGCTCCTGCTTCCAGTTTCCTGCTAATGTACAACCTGGGATGCGGTGGTGATGGCTCGAGTGCATGGGTTCCTGTCCCCAGTGTGAGAGTTCGAAACTGAGTTCCAGCCCCCGGCTTCAGCTTGTCCTAGCCCTGGGTGTTGTGTGTGTTCAGGGAGTGAACTGGCAAGATGGGAGATCTTTGTTAGTTGCAACTCTGCCTCTCTCTGCCTTTCAAATAAAATGAATGACTGAATCCAGTCTTGATCTTTAAGAATTTATCAGTGAGGGTCTGTTTTAATTCTTAGTTCCAGACATAGACTTTTATCCTAGAACCTACTGCTTGCTCGAGTCCATGGTTTAAATGGAAAACGTGGGGTGTTTACCATGTCTTTCTTTTTTTTGTATTTGTTTTTATTATTTATTTGACAGATAGAGTTAGACAGTGAGAGAGGGAGACAGAGAGGAAAATCTTCCTTCCATTGGTTCACCCCCCCAAATGGCCGCTACGGCTGGCGCTGTGCCAATCCGAAGCCAGGAGCCAGATGCTTCCTCCTGGTCTCCCATGGGGTGCAGAGCCCAAGCACTTGGGCCATCCTCCACTGCCTTCCCGGGTCACAGCAGAGAGCTGGACTGGAAGAGGAGCATCCGGGACAGAATCCGGTGCCCTGACCAGGACTAGAACCTGGGGTGCTGGCACCACAGGCGGATTAACCAAGTGAGCCACGGCGCCGGCCTCTACCATGTCTTTGTAACTTGCTACAGCTCGGGCTCTGAACTCTGTCTTCTACCTCTGGAGCTGTTGAAACTTTCTCCCATCTCTGTAGCCGTCTCTGCCATTGCTTCCTGCCAGAATCCTTGTAGTATTAACCTATCCAGCACAGCTTAGGTCACAGAGAAAGACTTAAGGTGCACTTGTGCACGGATTTATGGCTTCATCCATTAAAGGATTTCCCCTTCAATTTCAAGCTTTCCTGGAAGGCCCAAATTGTCTTTTAAGACATTAGCCTTATAAGACATCTCTGCCGGTGTTTTATCACCCCATAAACTGTCCCAATGTGGAAGCACTCTCAAGGGGAATGGAGGGTTAAATGAGTTTCTCACCTGATATACATCCCTTTTGTCAAGGGTTCATCTTTTCTAGTTTCTTCTGCCTTTGGTTGCTTCTCATTGCCCTCAGATTTTTTTCTCTTTTCTTTTGTTCTGTGTTTTCTTTTGCTTTGGTTCTTGATTTGATATCTATCTTGCCACAGTGTATTTGGTCGTTACATACTTTTCTTACTATGTATTTGTTTAGAGCAAAGAGTATGTTTCAGTCATTTTTATTCTCTGCCATTGTCTGACTCAGGAGGAGCCCTTACACAGCCGCTCCTCCGTGAGTGTTGAATTGCACTGTTACTTTTATGAGGACCACCTGTGAGTGAGGACCTCCAGCCTTGTATTCAGAAGCTCATTTCTGTTCGTAGCACACTATCCTATGACTTCAGATGAGAGTTTTAGTAAAGGCCTTCCTTTACTAAAGTGTTACTTTTCGAGTTTTTACTCTTTAACAGTGTTTATTTTGGGGCTGGTGTTGTGGCCCAGCAGGTAAAGCCACCACCTGTGAGTCTGGCATCCCCTCTGGGTGCCAGTTGGTGTCCTAGTTGCTCCACTTTTGATCCAGCTCTCTGCTAATGGCCTGGGAAAAGCAGTGGAAGATGGCCCAAGTGCTTGGACCCCTGCCTTGTGTGGGAGACCCAGATGACGCTCCTGGCTCCTGGCTTCAGGCTGGCCCAACCGCTACCCATTATAGCCAACAGGTGGATGGTTGCTCTCTCTTTGTGTCTCCCTCTCTCCCTATAACTTTGACTTTCAGAGTAAATAAATAAATAAATATTTAAAACAATTATTTAACCTTTCATTTCATATTTTAATATTATTTGAATTTTGGCCAGTGCTGTGGCTTACTAGGCTAATCCTCTGCCTGTGGCGCTGGCACCCAGGGTTCTAGCCCCGGTTGGGGTGCCAGATTCTGTCCTGGTTGCTCCTCTTCCAGTCCAGCTCTCTGTTGTGGCCCGGGAGTGCAGTGGAGGATGGCCCAAGTGCTTGGGCCCTGCATCCACATGGGAGACCAGGAGGAAGCACCTGGCTCCTGGCTTTGGATCAGTGCAGCGCGCCGGCCGTAGTGGCCACTTGGGGGGTGAACCAACGGACAAAGGAAGACCTTTCTCCTTATCTCTCTGTCTCTCACTGTCTAACTCTGCCTGTCAAAAAAAAATTATTTGAATTTTAATTCATTTTAATGTTAACATGTGATCTAAAAAACTGCTTAAATACTACCTAAACTATTGGATTTCTAACCAAGATTGCCATAAAGAGATATTTTTGTCTTAATCTTTTTAAAGAATTATTTCATTTGAAAGGCAGAATTACAGAGAGAGAGAGGGACAGAGAGAGCAAGAAATCTTCCATCTTCTGGTTCACTCCCTAAATGGCTGCAATGGCTGGGGCTGGGCCAAGCCCAAGCCAGGAGCCAGGAGCTTCCTCCAGGTCTCTCATGTGCATGCAGGGGCCCAAGCAGTTGGGCCGTCTTCCACTGCTTTCCCAGGCGCTTTAGCAGGGAGCTGGATTGAAAGTGGAGCAGCCAGGACTGAAACTGGTGCCCATATGGTGTGAAAGCACTGTAGGCAGTGGCTTAACCTGCTATGCCACAACACCAGTCCCTGTATTAATTTTTAAACGTGAAATAGACCTCTTTTGCATGTAAGATTGATTTGAGATGTTTCTTTTATTTAGAATATCGATAGTTTTCAAATTCTGTATTTGAAAATAATGTCTTTGAATAACTATTTTAAAAGAACACTTTTTTAAGGGCTATTTTATATTAGGCTTTTCAAGATCAATCTAAAGATAATTTTTCCCATCATGTCAAATGTTCTGTAGTCTTAAGCAGTTGGGAAGTGATTATAGCCTTAATCTGAATAAATTCACCTATTTTAAGTATAATTATTACAGTCACTAAGATTATTGTCCTTTATTTCTGTAACATAGGGCTTCCTTAAATGCCAAGAAGTATTATAAGCTAGTTTGTTTTAAATGGAACTTTTAGTTTTGCATAGAAATGTCTCATTTGATGATCACGTTAACTGTCAGTTTTAAAAATAAGTTGTATGATATCTACCTTAACAAACGAAGGGGGCATTTGTCCATCTACTACATGAATTGGCCATTTTGCGTGCTTGAGAGATGTAAGCTGTTAAATGAAGCTAAGTAACTCTCCTTCTCTCTTTTTTCTTCTTTAGAATCGAGTTTCTTACTGGGCAATGCGCAGATTGTGGACTGGCCTGTAGTTTATAGCAATGACGGTTTTTGTAAACTCTCTGGCTATCACCGTGCCGACGTCATGCAGAAAAGCAGCACTTGCAGGTACGTGAGACCACAACTTAGGACCCTTGTCTGGAATGGAACTAAATGCTGAGTGTGGTTAAAAGCCCAAATGTCCTTAGACGCACATACAATAGCTATCGGGTAAACATTATAAGAGAATATTAAGGAGAAGACGTTGTGCGTAGAAAACATAGCTGTAGGGTCATTATTGGAAACTTTGATAACAAGTAGGAGTTTTCTTGATCATTTTTTTTATTACTTCATTATTTCATTCAATAGCAATTTTTTGACCCGTTGTGAGTCAGGTCCTAATCTAGGTGCTGAGTGATCCACAAAACATCCCATACAAAGGGGGCTCCCGATGACATCAGCACCGCCCAAACAAGGGAAAATAGAACAAAAGAGGGACTGGTGCTGTGGTGTAGTGGGTGAAGCCGCCTCCTGGCCTGTGGCATCTCATATGGGTGGCGTGGTTTATATCCCTGCTGCTTCACTACCGGTCCAGCTCCTGGCTAACGGCCTGAGAAAGCAGTGGAAGATGGTCCAAGTAAGTGGGCCCCTGCTAGCCAGGTGGGAGACCCGGAAGAAGCTCCTGGCTCCAGGTTTCAGCTTGGCCCAGCTCTGATCATTGTGGCCATCTGGGGAGTGAAACAGCAGATGGAAGATCTCTCTCTCTCTCTCTCTCTCTCTCTCTCTCTTTCTCTTTCTTCTTTCTCCTCCTCCTCCTCCTTCTTCTCTCTGTGTAATCTGATATCCAAATAAATAAATTAATTTTTAACAATTCTCAGACAAGTAGCACAGATGCATGGGTGTTTAAAGAACATTGGAATGAAATTCTTACATCGTGTGTTCAATCACATATTTTGTGATGTTGGTACATCATAATGAAAATGCCATTTTGTTAGTCTTTAACACTGAATCTAACAGTTACAAAAATTCACTTACAATACGGAATGTCTTTGACTCAAAAGAGAGCATTATAATGCAAAGGAATCAGAAAAAAAGAAAGAGAAACCATATATAAATAAAAAACAACTTAGCACCTAAAACTCTTTCACAATATTTCAGTGAGGCCAGATGGGATGCCTTTGCCTTGAGTTAATTTTTCTTCAAAGCTCTCACTTCACTAAGCCCTGAAATCAAGTTATTTTCAAACTACAAAGGACCTGAATTTTTTTCTTAGTCCAAATTCTATTTTTTTCAGAGAGGGAAAAAATTGAGGTAGATTATGTGAAAGAACTTGCCCAGGGAAAATAAAAAGATGATTTATCTTTTTTCTATCTGTTTATATTCATATATTCTGCATTTTAATGGAAAGGAGGAATTTCATTTTATACCAGTGAATCTAAACCTGATGCACATAGCCACTTAAAGAGGCTTTTCAAAATGTAGATTCACACACCACTCCAACTTGCTGAGCCCAACCACCCTGGGTGAGTAGACACGGCCAGCAGCTGGTGTTTCAACAGCAGCTTGGGTGATTCTGATCCTCAGCCAGCTGGGAGGAAGAATCTGGTTCATACATCCTCTTTCTGCCCAGCCACCCTCAGTTTTCCTTCTGCTAACATCATTTCCACATTCAGATCACTCTCAGGCATACAATGGGAGGCGTGAAAACCTTGGGCCTTGGCTGAGACACTCCTTTGGGGATGTTGAAGTCTGATGCCTCTTTAAACCTTGGGGGAGCATGCATCATGCTAGCAGCCTTGCTAAGCTGTGCCTGGAGGGTTGAGGTCTGTGTCGGGCAGCACAGCTCCCTGTGGGCACAGCAGGGTTTAGGCTAGGAGAAGACTGGCTTTGTGGTAGACCTCACCCTGTGGGACAGGCACTGTAAGGAGTTTGGGGACAGGCGCACACCCATCTTTTTTCCCTGCACCGCTCACGCACCTTCCTGTCAGCTTCCACCTGGAGGCGTTCACAGTTTCTTCAAGACGCGTTGCCCCTTCTCTGATTTTTCATAGTTCTTTCTGTGTATTTCTGTTGGCATCTCACTTGGCCCTTGGGTTTTTATTCTTATTGCTTTTCTCCTCATTTTTTGACAAGCATTGCGATTCGTATCTGGATATATGGTAAAGTTGTATCTCCATCCTTCCAATGTAACTGGCTCTATCCCCAGCCTGTTTTCTTTGGCAAATGCTTTTTTTCCTATGAAAAATATTTATTTAAAAAATAGTGGCAGGCTAGGTGAGGGATCTTCAGAAAATTCTTGGAGAATGGGTTTTATGAAAAACCCATGCATGGATTCCAGTGGGTTTTTTGGCACTAAAGTAAACTTACCTTTTAATTTTACTTTTTTTCCCCAAGAACTTTTTTTAAAAATATTTATTTATTAATTATTTGAAAGGCAGAGTTACAGAGAGGCAGAAGCAGAGGCAGAGAAACAGAGAGAGGTCTTCCATCCACTGGTCTCTCCCCAAATGGATGCAACAGCTGGAGCTGGGCTGATCCAAAGCAAGGAGCCAGGAGCTTCTTCTAGGTCTCCCATGCGGGTTCTGCTGCTTTTCCAGGCCATAGCACAGAGCTGGGTGAGAAGAGGAACAGCTGGAACTAGAACCAGAGTCCATGTGGGATGCCAGCGCTGCTGGCAGAGGCTTAGCCCACTATACCACAGCACCGGCCCCAAATTAATCACATTTTTAACATAAATAATTTTTACTGACTTTGCAAAATGCCAAGTATGTTTTGCTAATCCAAAAATTGTAACCAGCTTTATTTTTTTACAGAGCATTGAAATGTAGCATGTGATAAATTAGCATATGATATCTGAGGGCTATTGGGTTTTCTAAGAAACATGGTTTATTTGAACGTGCTTTTTTTTTAAGATTTATTTATTATTTATTTAAAAGGCAGAGTCACAGAGAGGCAGAGGCAGAGAGAGAGTGAGAGAGCAACAGAGGTCTTCCATCCGCTGGTCCCCTCTCCAGATGGCCACAATGGCTGGAGCTGTGCCAATCCAAAGCCAGGAGCCAGGAGCCAGGAGCTTCTTTCAGGTCTCCTACATGGGTGCAGGGGCCCAAGGACTTGGGCCATCTTCTACTGCTTTCCCAGGCCATAGCAGAGAGCTGGATCGGAAGTGGAGCAGCTGGGACTCGAACTGGCACCCATATAGGGTGCCGGCGCTGCAGGTGGCGGCTTTACCCACTACGTCAGAGCGCCAGCCTCTGAATGTGCTTTCATTTTAAACCTCTTCATCATCCTGCTCAAATCAAACTATTCCCATGTTATGTTTACTGCAGCACTGTTCAGGAGAGTGAAGAGCTAGAAGTAATTAAAACGTGTAGTAGCAGAAAAATTGTTAAAAAATATTATGTCAGAGTCAAACTTTCTAAATCACATGTTGGAAGGATAATAACACTAGGAAAAGCTAATAACCCATTATCAAGAAAAGAAATCCAGAAAACAAAACATTACAAAAACCACCCCTAAAATCATTTATAAAGGAATTTGTGCATCATCATTTAGACTTTTTTTTTTTTTTTACATATGGCTTTTTCCCCAGTTCCTGAATAAATCTATAAAAGTGAACATGCGACACAGGGAAACCAAGGGAGGAAGGAAGAAAATTATACACAGATTGAGAAATACAAGTTTGTAGATTAAGGTTATTATACTTTGGAATAGCTAAATTCAAACTGAACATGGAGATAAATGATGTGACACGGAAAACAGCTGCATACATAATTCAAAGAATTTCACCAATTTTAATAACGACAAAAATTCAGGAAATATGGCAGGATAGACATCAGTGAGTTTCAGTTTTGGTGTGAAAATGCAGTTTGATGTCAGATGAAAATAATCATCTTCATTTACAGCCTGCATTGGGTGAATTAACGTCAATAATAGTAAAGTGGCAACGTGGTAAATGATTACGTGTCTTATTTAAAAATTAGTCACATGTGGTTTACTGTACTGAACAGGAAGCATAAATTAATTTTTGCTCTTATGGTATCGAAAGGCTAAGATCCATTTCTTCTGTTTTCTTCTTTGTCCTGTCCAGTAGCAGCCCTGTGGAGCAGGTGCATAGAATTAAATGCTACAGCCTCCTCAGTTTGTTACAATGTTACTGTGCTCTGGCTGGGCAGGTTCTTTATTTTATGTCTTTGTTTTCTGCTTCTTTTCCCCTTCATCCTATCTTTCTTCTTCTTCCCATAGTTTTTTCTTTTAGTGTGTTTAGGGTATAACTTTCTGATCCATCATCAAGTTATTAAAAATGTGTATTTTTTTAAATATTTATTTATTTATTTGAAAGTCAGAGTTACATTGAGAGAGGAGAGGCAGAGAGAGAGAGAGAGAGAGAGAGAGGTCTTCTATTCACTGGTTCACTCCCCAATTGCCTGCAATGGCCGGAGCTGCGCCGATTCGAAGCCAGGAGCCAAGAGTCAGGAGCCAGGAGCCAGGAGCTTCTTCCGGATCTCCCATGTGGGTGCAAAGGCCCAAGGATTCGGGCCATGTTCTGCTTTTCCAGGCCATAGCAGAAAGCTGGATCATAAGAGGAGCAGCCGGGACTAGAACCGGCACCCATATGGGATGCTGGCACTTCAGGCCAGGGTGTTAACCCGCTATACCACAATGCGAGCCCCAAAAATGTATTATTCTTGAAATGGTGTTGCTTTGAATGGGTTAGCCTTCAAGAACCACATCATTGCTATCATGCAGAAATCTTTATGGTTGCTTATTCTATCCTTCAAAATCAAGTTTCTGAGATTTCCTGATGTCTCTATAGCATAATCTGTTTCACTGTGTCTGATTGTGTCTAGTGCTCCAGTGTCTTTTTACTGCCTTCATTTTATTTATCCAGCCTGTCGCTCCTCCGTGAGCGGAGGAGTGGCACCGGACCGGAGGCTGTTTTTCCCTCGCTGTAGGTTTTTTCTATAGCAACGCAAGAACAGGTAAAGGGAAGACCGAAATAACAAGCTCCCCAGCGAACTCTCCAACCGACTCTCCAACCAACCACCCCTGAACTCTCCAGCAGCCTGGAGACAGTAGTTGTCCCAGAAAGCGCAGCTGAGTCTCCTTTTATAGTCCTCTCCCACCAATCC